ATAGTTTTAGTATTTTTGCCCAGTTCAAGCCCACTCTATTCAATTACCTATTAAATTGTGATTAATTATTATGTAGTTATTTAATACTTTTTATTAATCGAATCAGAGACAGGTCTCTGTATATTTTTTATCTTTTATGTCGAACTATTGAAATAAAAAATAGCTCGTTCCAATCAAATACATTTTCGTTATTCCTGCACGAGGCGGGAGAAAATGGAACAAACTTTATTGCTTTCGAAATTCGTACGTTTGCTTCTATACCACGAAATATTGACATAGACAATGTCCATTCCACACTAGTGGGTTATAATTTGAAAGAAAAAAATCGTTTTTTTGAGATAATTTCGCAAGTAGTAATTTGTCACCACTGACCGTGGGCACTCGCAGCATTTGATGGGTTAAAGGTGTGTGAGAAACTTTAAGAAAAAAAAAATGGCTTCCGGTTATTTCACTGGATAGACGAAATATAAAACTTGACAAATTACTGGGTGGTTCAGTTACTAGTCCGCGATATCGTGTGGGAATTAATAAACAAGTATACTGAATATTATAAACAAGTTTTTACGACCATCAGATAATTCTTCCGTATCTGGGTATCAGTTATCCCAAGATGAAATTTTATTTTATTTCGAGTACGGAACAAACAAAAAGGTTGCATGATTTGCGTGGATTTGGAACACTAAACATTCGTCTTGTTTTTAAGACGTAACTCTGCCGTAGTAACAATTAGGTAAATTATAAACTATATAGGTGAATGTCATTATGTAAATGGTAAGTATTAAATATAGTGAAAAGTTTTTAGAGAAAAAGTATAAATCACCAATTTGTTTTTTCATATTATATAATATTTCGATGAACGAAAAAGTCCATCAATTTGTATGTTTTTTTATGTGTTTTCGGAGATAACTTCGTCATTTATGAACTGATTTTGATGATTCTTTTTGTTGGAAAGGAGATATACCACCCAAGGGAGGTACCATGATAAGGAAACGATCTGATGATGGCATCCCAGAGAAATCGAGGGCAATCCTCAAATGTTATAGGCGTTGACAATGTTTTATTAGTTTCCCGTTTGAAGTCGGTTTTTTTTGTTCAATATTATTGTTGATTGAAATAGAAAGAAGGAAAACGTCTCTAGGCGGCCTTTTATTCAATAGCGAACGCTACACGACCCCATTACAGATATGACATGTGTATCTTGCAAGTAATAGAATTGCTGACGGAAGGTAAAAATGGACAGTGCAAACTGGATACACCATATGTAACGAGCTTAAACATTTACCATTTTCATGTATTGACATCGATAAAAAAGTATATATTTACCATGATATATTGCTGAATGATTAATATAATTAGAGCAATTATGTTTAATAATATAGTGTATATGCATATATGTATAATTGTATATTGTATTATTGTCCTATTGTAACGGATTTGCAAATAATTAGGTCCTTACATATGAAATTGGTGTTTTATCGAACTGGTTATTTTGATCTCAAATGTTTGGCGTTTGGCTAGGAATTCCAAAATAAAAATTAAGGTTTGTGTATTTATGTTTCGAATCTATTGACATTAGGCGTCGGTCAGTTTACAATATAGAAAACTTAAAATACAGCATTATTTAAGAATACGACGTTTCACCGTGCCACCAATGCGGCAGAAAAAGCTCGAAGGATTAATCATATGGGCAAGCTACTGGAAAAGAAAACACGTCACATTTTTGGTTCTAACGTTTTTGTGCTGGAAATGTTGACCTACAGAACAAAAAGCCGAAAGGATGACTGAAGATCCTAGTTGACAACGAAGAATTAAATCTGATTGTGAAAGCAATCCATCGCAAACGATGTCAGAGTTACTGGCAGGTTTCGGTGTGTGAAAAAAAAATTATGGACTTGAAAGAAAAGTGAAAATGCTGAGGCCCACTTACCTCAGTCTCTGTGTGCAACGTGAAGTCCACAACAGCGATTTATATATATATACAATCGAGCCGATGCGCCAGCGCTACCAGCGTGCCGTTGATGGCACTCACCGCACAAGCGACGCTCCTCGCTTACGTATTATGGTATAAAAGCAGTCTACGCGTGCTTCAGCAAACATCGCTGATGCGCTGCAATAGCGAGGGAGCCCCAACAACATCCTGAATGCATTGTTGTACTGGACCCGAAGGGCGCTGTACGATCTTTGAGTATAGTCAGTCCTTAGGCTACAGGTGTAAAATGAAATGCAGTAAGCCCTAAAAAGAGTAACCTCATATCCGTAGAGCATCTAAGTTGATCAAAGCTGTATCAGGGCATACCAATGGAGTTGTTATGCCCTGATACAGCAGTTTACCCAGCAGTGGGGCATATTATAAAGCCTGTTACTTTATTATTTTACGTTTCGTTATGATTGGACGTATTGCATTTAGCATAACATTTTAATAATACGACAAAACGTTTTCAAGGATTAGCTTGACGGAGGTTTGACATTCTTAATTATAATTATGTAAATTTCGTAGTAAAATAATTATTTGAAGTTAAAGTAAAACCTATTTTCTTCTTAAACCTTCTTGGTAGTAAAGTAATTAATATTTTAAATAATTCTGTGACACGTATTTTATAAATGTTTTGTCGGATATGAATTAATTCTAATATCTTACTAAGGGAAATTCTTAGACAGTTTGGTTATACATTATTATAATATAAAGTAGAAATAATAAAAATATGCAGAAATGTCGTTTAAACGTGTAATGACATTGTAGATATGTCAGGTTTAACCCGGGGATCGAACTTAGGTTGTTCGAGCTCTGTTCTGTCCTAATATCCTCTGTACGGAGGAGGCCTTTGTCCAGCAATGGGATGTATATAGGTTGTTACTGTTACATAAAAGATCCTATTACAATTAAATAACGATATTGGGCCTTTGTTTACAATCTTACGCAACTTTTTTTAAACACAAAAACTGTTATTCGATAAGGAAATTTCACTAATAAAATCATAAATTTTAATAGTATTAATCTCTGCGCAGTGAAACATTACATTTTTCTGGAAATTTTAATTCACAACTCAATTAAAAATCTATAAAAGCACAGGTACAGAGAAAAATAAAACTCATTAATTAATTAAAAATGTATGAAAAGATCTAAACTTTGGGAAAAATTAAATCTTTAAATTTCATAAAATGTAAATCCGCCATTATGATTATAGCGTTCAGGTTACCTTGAGTATTAAATACTGCACAAGTCAGCTTAGCTTCAATTCTTCCCTTTTCACAACAAACGCCCCTAATTTTCGCAAGAGTCTCAGATTCTTTCTGGACATTTCTAAATCTATATGTTGCTGCACTCAAATTTCGCCCTGGGGCACCTCCTTCGAGTACAAAAATGGATATAGGCCAATAAGAGAAATATTTATGGCGCATTATCGAGCAGGATATGAGAGCCAATGGATCAGTCCATGGGTCAGCCCATGAGGATGTAGAAGATCGGGCAAAGTGGAGGAGATTAAGAGGAAAGCAGACTCTGACAATTGCCGGGATAAATGCTAGGTAGAAGAAGAAGAGAAATATTTATGTAAATATTTTTTTTAAATAAAGTTTTAGTTGGATGTTATACTCAGTTACATTTTGAATGCCATAAACCCACCCTGATTCGCGCAAAGATTTTACTTTGCAATAAGATGCCAACACAGGTCATAATTCTTTAGTTCAGCTTCACTGGTACATTTTCTGCTTGTTGCAGAAACTTATTGTAAATACTCGTTAGCAAACAAAATTTACAATAAAATTGATAAAGGATTGTTATTAATTTAACCTATAAATTAATACGGGAGAAAAAGTGCCACCACAATCCACTTATAACCACATAATTATATAGTTCTTTTCATCGCAACACGAAAGCAAAATGTTTTTCGTTATTTGAAAAAATTGGGGGCTTCGTAAAAAAGATAAATAGAGTGAAGCGTTGTCATTCAGCCCCGTAACAGGTTTTACTGCTTTTGCTCCTGTCCAGCCAGTATTACCTGTCGCAGCGGAGGCCCACGTCGGTTGGGACATAAAATGTTAACACATAAATCGGCTTTTGGTACATAAAATATTCGGTACGAGAGGACCAGAGTGATTCATTCAAACCAATCTAGCTAAAAGAGGTACAAATGGTAAGGCTTATTCAAAATGTTTGGGTTATGATACGTTTAAACATACTTCACACAGAACCCGTCACAATTTCTTTGCATAATACATTTACTCATAACGTTTGAGGTTTCATATTGTTTAACAATGACGTCATCGGTTTTTTTTAGCATTCAGGAGTCTTTCCCACCTTTGTTCAATTGATAAACTATGTAAAACTACGCTATGGAAGACTGATCAACCCCCGATAGTATAAATTCAAATTCAAATATCTTTATTCAACAAAGGAGCATTACACTCTTTTTGATAGTCATAATAAAGATTAGGAAAAGAAAAGCCACTAACCTGAGAAGAACCGGCGAAATAAACTCAGCGGGCCATGTTTTACCATTTTTTGACAGTGTGAACATGTTTTACATTGTGTGACATGAGTATATAAATACAATATAAAAAGTTCCTTTGAGAGCCTGGAAAGATCAATACCTTTCGCAAGTGTGTTATCATTAATAATAATAAAAATATTTTTGCATTGGGCTCGATTTGGATTCCGGGTGGTCTCGTTTTAATATCATTGGTATTGGAGCTCGGAGTTCGGAAGATACATCAAGGAACGCCTAAAAAATCTAATAGAAAATATACAGTCAGTAAGATATTTGAAGTCTGTTTTGTTTTTTGTTACTAAAAATCTTTTCCTTGTATATTACATACATAATTCTTAAAAGGCAATACTTACTATTCTTTTTATGGTATAAGGTGTATGGTGAGTGAGATATTTGAGGGCAGTTCTGTTTATTGTTATTAAGAATGCACCTGCTCAAATCAAGCACTGGTTCGAAGGTCCGCGGGTATTTGAAGGCTGTCCGGTTGTTCCAGAGGGCGCGGCGGCCCCCGGCATGAGGTCGGGGGAGGGCGAGGGCTCGGAGCTGGCGGAGTTCGGGGCGCGCTGGCCGCCGCCTTACGCGCAGGGCTACGGCTGGCCGCGCTCCGCAACCCCTCAGCACCCGCCCGCCCACCACCTCGCGCGCCACTCGCGCTCACAGCAGGTAACGTTTCATGCCCTCAGGAATCAATCAGGGCCGAACTCATCTCACGAATCCGTTGAGAGCCAAACTTATGTTATATAGCTCTTACACGCGGCTATTATTCAGTAGTCCTTCTCGATATAAAATAAGCACCATTCCGCGCGTACCGTACCGTTTCATGTGTTTTTGAGCCCATTGAGAGCCAAACTTATCTTATGTAATAGGTATAAGCGAACTTAGTCGTTCTTATATATAAAAAATAGTTTATTTAGCAAATAACAATATATGTCCTTTGTGATTATGCAGCGTGAAGTTCGTTTCTATTCCAAAATTAATAAAACTCCGTTTAACTGGAATGAAGGAGAAATTTATGACTGAACTTGAGCATTTAGAGTAATATCATTGCCATACCCAATCTTCCTTACGGGACAGATAAAGAAAAATACATATTTACCGAGCTTATTATGTTTCTAACCGTAGCTGGTTGACCCCGTCGCCATATAGGTACCAAACGCCAATGTGAAGTAGTGACTTTAAAACCGAAGATTGACTCGTAAATGTATATATTACCTATTTTAGTGTAGGTATGTAATTGTAGGTCCATTTTCGACAAGAGTACATGAACATTCATAAGAGAATTTGGCATCTTAAATGTAATGTTGAGTGGTTACCGTTGCTAATGCAATCTTCAAGTCCCATGAGGCCGCAGTTGCGTTTTCTACAGGGCTTAAGGCTCTTCTTTATGTCTTCAAATGAATCCCTTATACTTATGCTGTTGAGCCCAACCAAACTGCAATAGTAGCTGCGTGGATTTACCGCAATTAATGATGTAAAGCGTCTTCAGGACAACCGGCACACGAGCTACGAGGCTGAGGATGCGAGGGGGCGTGCTCGTGGCGGAGTCTACTACTCCCCGCCGGGGACTTCGTACACCATCGTGGAGCGCCCGGCGTCCTCACACGGACACCACGCGCCCTACTCCCACCACCATTATCCCGGGAAACTCTCGCGTGCACCGTACCTCGGCTCCACCACGATTGCTAACAGTGCAGGTCGGAGTAGATTTCAAATCAGTTTTCAGATTTTTCCTGATCTTGTCATCACCGAGAGTGACGTGATGAGTTCTTGAAGTATGTTTGTGAAGCTTTGTCATTAGGAGTTAAATGGTCCCAGTGATTATTTCCTCCTAAGATACATTAGAATGTACAATTCCTTGGTAGTCTTCAAAAGATTCCATTAGCAATAATGCAGTTAACGTAAACAATATCTTAGTATTTTTCAGCTACTTTATCTTTAATAGGAACATTCAGTTGAATACCGCTAATATCGTATCGATATAGCAATTAATTTTTTAATAATTAATCAGCCTGTTAACTAAAGAATGTTTGATTTCAACTTCCATAAATCCATTGAACAGGTCCAACGAGCTTAAGGAATAGCACAAACCACTTAAGCGCAACAAATGGCAAGAAGCGGCCCATCTCGCCAGAGCAGGTGCTCCGTCTATTCGGGCAGGGTGGAGCAGCGGCCTTGGGTAAAGCCCTGCCACCATCGCACCCACCATCGCACCCACCCCCGCCGCTGCCCGCACCACTGCCCGCCAGGCGCCACTCTCCTGCGAGTAGTCCCAGCAGCACAACGCACCATGTAAGAACAAACGACCCTCGTTGACCCCATCTAATAAGCGGCCAATTGACGAAATTTGAACTCCAAAAAAGTGTTCCAAATTGGTCACGAAATAGTCATAAATGGTCAGTCCATCCATGGACGTCCTTATCATCATAGCACCTCAATTTGATCGGATGAACTGCTTTCAAAGATAAAAATTACTGTTGCAACGACAAAAGGTAGTTTTCTTATATACAAAATATATGAGTTGACGTAATTGGTCGCCAATTGCTAACTACATGCTGATCACAAAGGCCAAAGGTTTGTGGTTTGATCCCCACTATTGGAAATAACGAGTTTTATTTTATTTACATAATATTTTTCCAGTGACTGCGTGTTTGTACGTGTTAATAAAAGTCTGTTTAAATACGTTTATCAGTTACCATACCATGGATACCCATAGCACGAGCTTTTCTCTATTTTGGGACTAGATAACTTTGTATAAAAATACCTTTTACTATTATACGTCTAGTAGACTAGTTCGTAAGATTGATGAAACGAGTTTAAACACTTTTTTTAAATGTGGGTGGTTTAAAGTTATCGTTGCCACATATGGGACATTCACATCACATGTGAAGAACGTGACAAAGCAGAATCTGCCACATTGCTATACCACATAAAATGCCAATATGAAAATGGCCTGAATAACCTTGATTACTCTTCTGAAGCAGAATTCGAGAACATAAGAAACAAATAAATGCTGTAAAAGTTTGAGCCCAGCTGGGCTTGCGTCAGAACTTTTTACTCTCAGAACTTTTACTCTGAACAGCAACTCTATTGGGCTCTGTCATTCGTGTAAATAATTCTGTGTTGAAGCGACGTTAGTCGATATCACTACTTTATTCATGACCATTGCGGTAAGCGTTTAGAAGGGAGGGAATGGCTTTAACCGTCATAATTTGGTTCACATTGTTAGCTTAGATCAGGGTTGTAGGTTAATGTACACAAAATATCACTATCATGTTTTACAATGTAACAAATTTGTATTTTATGTCAAAAATACGGCTTTTATTAAGCGAATTGTAATTTCATATGTCAATATTGTACTCAATGATTCACGGTCCCTTGTGAATACGATAGGGCATTGTCACTGTCAGTCAACGGCGGGTCACGGAACGGAAAACCGTGTGTCATTAGCATTGTCCTCTATAAAAAAATGTTTAAAAAGTTAAAATATTTTAATAAATAATTGTTTCGTATTTGAAAATGAATGCTTTTGAGATTGTGAAATTTTGATTCTCAATTTTGAAAAAACTGAAATACCTACGTGTATTGCCCGCAGTGTCTATGTTAAAGACAGTTTTACAGCGCAGCCCCTATTCTTTTGCCAGTCATCTAATCAATAGTCCTTTATGTTACAAAGAAATGAGTGTACGACATTACTATTCATTTTAAATGTTTGGCGTTATGTTTTTATGTAATAAGTTGTGTTTATCACTGGTGCCAAATTGGATCCGACTGGAAAATATGAGGTATTGTTTTATATTCAACATGAATTAAACTTATTTTTTGGCCAGTATAATAAATTTTTAAAGGCGAACCACACAAGTGGCGATGAACCGGTCTTGTATTACAAAAATAGGAATAAATATTTGAAAATACAGGCATAAAACTCTTTTTTTATTATCATTTGAGCGTTATTATGTCTTTTTAACGACGGTCGTTAGTAAACGTTAAAGTAACAACGGCTAAAAATTAAATTCTCATGAATGATGTTCGTAAGAGTGTGTTAATTCGTGTCGTTTTCATTTTATATTATTTTCGGCGCGATGTAAATTCATGAAAATGGTTTCATCCTTCACTTTTCGCTTGTCGGTTTAAAATATGATTAAAAATGATCTCAAGGTAACAATGTTTTAATGGATTTGATTGATTTTTAATTCCGTGCGATATTCACAAACGAATCTTTGTGAACATTACTAATATATTTCAGGTAAAAATTTGTGTTTTCGTATCGAATGGTTGGTATCATTCTCTTTACAATGATGTTAGGTTGTATAATATTATGAGTGGCAGCGTGTATATCCAATTTAATTTCTCTTTGCTACTTAATTTTTACAAAGTTTAGTTAGTGTTGTTTAGTAAAGTTTAGTTTCCATTTCTGCTGAGGAAAAATGTTATACTTCACTCATGGCTTCGTTTTGTATTAAGTGCATTATTACTGATATTGTATTAAAAAGATATTGTACTAAAGGTTCTCCTTTAGTACACAATGATCTATACGAGTACTAATATCGTTCTCGATTTGAAAATTCACATTAACTAGTAATTTATTAAAAAAAAGCACTTAATTTCACACATGGTTTGACGTCAACAAAAATGTTATCATAACCTGACGGTCAGAGTCGCGTATTTACTTGCGCCAGAGGGTGTGGGTTCGATGAACATAGTGATTTTCCCGCGTCTGGATGTTTCTATATTATGTATTTACAAAAGAAAGTTATGTTTATCAGTTATTTCCATAGTATAAGCCTTGGGACTAGAGAACGTTGCATAAAATGTGTCAAACGTAAAAAAAGGCAGGCTCGTTCAGGAACTACCGGCCTCACAGAAGACCAGCATGAATTGGAAGCGTTACACTTTCGTGTGGTGTGTGAGGTAGCCCGGCTTATATACCTGTTTACCATTGTTTTTTTTTTTTATTTATTTGAATACAGGCGATATACCGCGGCGGGGAGCGCGAGAGGCCGTATTCGTCGGGGGGCGCGCCGCCGGCGTCGGCCGAGCCAGCGACGCGCACAGTCACCATGAGCCGGGACCCGGCCGACTCCCACGGCTTCGGGATATGCGTCAAAGGCGGGAAGGAGGCAGGTGAGCGAAGGAACCCTCCTACAACCAATCAGAAGATACCACAAAGCGTCACCCAAGGGCGGATCCAGCTTTGGTGCCAGGGGGGGGGGGGGGGGGGGGGCACGTAGTCGTGGTCAATTGATAAGAAGTTATAATTTAATTTTTATAATCATAGATACAAATAAAAAGGAGGTATTTTTAAACGACTTCAAAAAGAAAGAGCTTATCAATTCGGATGTTTACATTTTTTATGTATGTTCGGGCAGAACTTCGTCATATATAGGCGGATTTGCAATATTCTTTTTTTGTTCGTAACAATTCGTTGCTTTTTATTGTCATAAATTATACAGGATGGCTTTTATAAAGGTGCCCAAATTCACACAGGAGGTTCAAACTCGGTAGTATAACCGTTTATTGAAATAAAAACAAACATTTTTTTAATTAAAATTGGCATTCTATTCCCTAAAAAACAGAACTTGTTGACAATGCGGTAGTCATTCATAAATGCGTCGTATACTTTTGAAACGAACTTGTCTGCGTGTTAGTTATGAATGATCGCGCGTAAAATACAAGTTTCTGAGATAAGTTCAAATGAATGTAATTAATTAATTACGAGTGATTTTAAATATTTATCATTTTTTTATAACTTTATTTATTTCTAGAATTTAATAAAAAAAATGAATACACTTAGAAAAGCATCCCTGTGTAGTATTTTTTTTAAGTATGGTATTGGTAGGCTTACTTATTTTTGAAATTTCTTTTCATTTATTTCTTCGTTACCAGATTTTATGTAGTCGTATTTTTGTGTGGTTGTAATATTTTTCAATTCCTCTACTCCGAATTCTTCTACTTTCAATTCATTCATTCATAATATTCAGCGTTCGTCCATCTAATCCATCTAATCACAGAATCCACATTCATAACAAACGGAACGAACAAACTTTACTTCCCAAAGATGGGGTCGCATACTGACGTCCACTAAACCACCACCTCTCACCACCCGTCAAAAACCGTCCACCCATTAAGACGAATCAAACTCGACGCAGTTGTGTTCCTTAATTACTGAGTTCCTATGGCCACATTCCACCTCTGTCATCAGACCCTGGTTACCATCTAGCACTAAAGAACTCGTCATGACGAATCAAACGAGCCGAGACACAATAGGGTTGCGTCGTATGTTTACTGAGTACATATGACTATGTTCCAGCTCCATTAACAGATCAGACCCAGGTAACATCTAAAAATTAAGTACTCGCCAAGACGAATCAAACAAGCCGAAACTCGATGGGGTTCAGTCATTTCATTACAGAGTGATCATAGGAACCTCACAGAATAGACCTCACAGAAGATCGGCGTAAAGTACTTCTGCGTTTTTTCTGGTGAGTGAGGTAGCCAGAGCACACTTTATTGTAAGGAGAAAACGCATCTGCAACCCTATGCATATGTCCACGGACGGCTGAAGATGGGGTCATGACCCCCATGACCCCCCCCCCCCCCCCCCCTGGATCCGCCCTTGGCGTCACCGAGTCTAGCTGGACGAGCAATTGATACAACTTCACGACTCCGTGGCGTGGTCGTATGGCTATCAAAATCTATCACTAGTTTATAAAATCTGTCCAGAAAAGAACCTTTAAAAAATTTGAAACGGTTAATTTCAAGGAGACTGAGTTTTTGTTTATGTCAAAGGCGACGGAGTTAACTTATTATGAATTTTTGGAGATAGATTAAAAAAATAACCCTTTTTGCTGTCAAAATGAAGTTAAAATATGAATGATATTCATTATTATATACTTGCATTTACTTTTGAAGTAAATATAAGTATAATAAATATTAAAATTTATGTATACATCGCCGATGTAGGTAACAGACAGAGGCTTATCGATTACTGGCCCAAAGGGAAGTTATATAAATAGACTGCGGAGTGCGGACTGATCAAACAAAGCGAACTAATCATTGAATCGTACTCTTCTTCAACAAACTCAATAATTTCATTCTCTTTCTTTGTATTTTCTTACATTAATTTATTATGTTTTATGAGTCCACAAATTCTGTATTTTGGATCAATTAATTTTTCGAGAAAAATTTAATTCATCAAACAAACAACATGTAATAAATAACACTGTAAAAAACTTGTTTTAAAATGTTTCACGTATTATCCTTATTTTTTAACATACTTTAGATAATGTTCCGCAGACTTATCGTTCTGTATATTTGTGTAGGTGTTGGTGTGTACATATCGCGGGTGGAGGAGGGGTCCGTGGCGGAGCGGGCGGGCCTCCGCCCTGGGGATTCCATCTTGCAGGTCAACGGCACACCTTTCTCCGGGATATCCCACGAGGACGCGCTAAAGGTATCGGATTACAGTACGCTGTCTACGTCCGGAATGTTAATGGGAATTGTGTTTGTATATTCCGTGTTATCGAAAAGAGTATGTTTGAAAGAATAGGAACATGTTGCACGTGCAAAGTTTTGTATTACGTTTATGTAATAAAACTTGAAATTACTCATGTAGAAATATATAAAACAAAAATAGGTTCGAGCCTTCACGGCGCCACTGTTATTCATAAATAATTTATGTGGTATTTTAAATGAAATTTTATTTGAACTTATTAATCTTAATTTTACATTTTTCGATTTTTATTGCGGAAAAAAAAATTAAAAAGTTAAAAGTATTCACATAATCATTAGAGCGATTTTTTAAGTTTTATGATTCTGTTATTTTTTTTATGTTTCATATATATTTTAACTGTCATTGTTTAAATATGTTAAGTCACGTTAATCATACAATCTATGAAATATTTGTAATGTGCAATGTGTTATTTGGTGGGGCAAATGAGTCGGTTCAGCTGATGTTAAGTGATTATTGTGAGTAGCCACAACTATACCCGAAAGCCTCAGTTACCTCCCAACTCAACAGACGAAGTGAAAAAGTATGAATACTAATGTTCAACGGTATTTTGTGGGGTCGCGGTATGCAGGAGAAGGACCAGACTGTCCATTCATGCATCAGCAGATGCTGCTTATTCATTTCCACAATATAATAAATAAGTATTTTAGTGAAACTTTAAATTAATTCCAAATAATTAATTAATAAACGTTCAGTATTCTAATCTTTACGGAAATCTCTTATTGTTCAAGCAATCAGGTGTTATGAATATAGACTTAGCTATTTCATTCCTATGCCCATAAATGCTATGCTAAAATAATTCAAAAAAATGTATGATTTGGCAAAAATTTTGTTTCTCTCAGTACATATTTTATGAGTCCGTTTTTGAAACGGACATTTAAAATGTACACTGTGGAGACTACCTCTTTTTGAAAGAAAACTATATGAAGTAACACAAGTCTTATCATTTATTTACCACCACAGTACTAAAAGTATTTCATTTATTGAAAATTTTCTTATTTTTAATATAGTATTTTTCATGTTCGAATATTTTGCTTTTTTCACTCTGTTAGAATACTGCGGAAGATCCCTTAACTTTTACGTATCTTCCGCCGTGCTCGAGTCTTTACAAAATGGTTCGGTTCGGTTCGGTTCGGACTCATGTCAATCAACAATTTTACACGAATTCGAGAATCTGAAAAAGACAGTGAATTAGGACGACAGCATGTATCACAATTATAAATTGTCCCAAATATGATATGATTAATAAACATACGAAAATGATATGATATACAAATACAAATTACACCAATTGGCGTAATGAAATTGCAATTCTATAGACTGCTATCCCTTTCCATATGATCTGTCACATTCAGTTATATGTGTAATATATTGTAAAGTGGAATAATTTAAGAACACCGCGAAGTGTGGACATGCGTCACCAACGATGTATAAAGAGAGAATGTGTTGACATCCCCAGTCCTAGACGATACGCCTGAATCTGACACCTCCTCCTGATGATACTTAACAACTAGGCACACAGAGATTGAGGTCAAGACGGATCAAGCATAGTTGTGTAATATGAGCAAGATTTTTTTTGATGCAGAGCTTTCTGTGTTTCATAATACTTTTTTATGTGAAAAGTAAGAAAACGGTTCACCTGATGTTCACCTGGCGTCAAAATTCGAATACAGGTTGCTCGATTAATGAATAAACAACCAACAGGTAAAACAATAATGATTCCCAATAAAAAGCTAATACCGTTAAAATGCAAAAACTACAATATCTTGATCTGTTCATAGGTAACGTCTTGTGCCTTGACAAATCGAAAAGGAAGAAGTGCTTATTATCGCTGTAAGATATCGCTTATTATCGCTATAAGAAATATATTTGAAAAAAAAATTAGTCAAATGTTGAATTATTATTGGGGGGATATTCATTTGTTTTCTCGTCTGGTTGGGTTTATAAATAATAAATAAAAATAAAGAAACCGGCGGACGATGCGGGCGGTATCGAGGAGCACCGCCTTCTGCATTTGAGCCTGGAGCGATCCGTCCCGGAGTCCCAGTCGCCTCAGATGTTTAGAGAGGCTGACTGGGATCAACCCATTCGCAGACACGACTATCGGGATAATTTCGGTCGGCACACCACCCCACATGTCGGTCACCTCGTGAGCCAGGTCCAGATACTTCGTCTTCTTATCTGTTTCGGCTTTCACGAGGTTCTCGTCATATGGAATGGTAATGTCGACCAAAAATACCCGCGACTGTGCCCGGTCCATCAACACGATATCAGGTTTGTTCGCGACAATTGTCCTGTCTGTGATGATGGACCGGTCCCAATAGAGCCTGGCGCGGTCATTTTCGAGCACGGCCTCCGGAGAGTACTTATAATACGGCAGTTTCCGTTCCACGAGGCCGTATTTCAGAGCGAGCTCCTGGTGTAGGATTCTGGCTACTAGGTTGTGTCTATGCAGATACTCAGAGTTAGAAAGCATGGAATAACCGGAGATAACATGCCGAAGCGACTCCCCGGGATGGCGACAAGCTCGACAGATGTCGACGGTGCCATCCTTTAGGATGTATCTCCTATAGTTGTTCGTCTTAATAACCTGATCCTGTATCGCACAGACAAAACCTTCGGTTTCCCCAAAGAGGTCACCGAAACGTAGCCAGTTCAGGGAGGCAACAGTATCTACGAAAGGCTCGTGTAGAGCCTTGTAGAACCTCCCGTGGAGCTCTTTCTCCTTCCATACAGCCTCTCGGTCGGAAACGCTCAGTACTCCCGGGTCCTGCCATTGCTCGTTGGCTAAGGATAGAGGGGTATTTCTATTCATTATCAAAATATGAATAGAAATATTGTAATCAGATTTTTGTAAATATATGTGTGTACGCGCGTTTATTCATAATATCCCTACATTCATCACAAAAGAGAGAAAAAAAATGCATTTAGAACACGCTGTTTTCAGCTATGGAAACGCTCTGATCATCGTTTTAATAGTAAACAATAAGCACGTTGTGCATGTTCATTGCGGTTGTGCAATGGAACTTCAGTAACTCCGACATGCGAACAATATTATGAACGGACTGAGCGAGTGAAAACGACAGGCCAACACGTGAGCGACATTGCTAGTGCTACTGTTTCTGTTATTGAGCCGGGGTACTTCATAATGTTCAGTACCGGAATTGTAACGTGATTCTAGTTGCGTGTGCAAAGCAACTGGTACGGTGAAGATACATTTTTTTTTTAATTTTAAAAACATTGTCCTTACTTTAGGATGACGTTATCCCCGTGTTGTAAGGACATTTTACAAACATACATTTCAATCCGACAAACACCCGGATGCGAACACCCGAAACAACTATCTGCGGGTCACAAATAGTTGTCCCATGTTGGAATCGAACCCACGACCGCCGTCGCCGAAGTCAATACCTTGGCACCTGCGCCACTTCGGAGTCATCATACTACATAGCGAGATCACGACTGTATAATCAATATTAATGTAAAGGCATAATTTTTGTTGTTCTTAACACCATTAAGGGAGCCTTAATGGTGTTAAAATCCATTGGTCGTTTATAATTAACGAATAACTGTTTAGTGATTGTTGTAATAGAAACATCTTATACGACACGCTTAACATTGTTATAACTATATATTTTAAAAGTTTTTTTTACAAAAAAAAAAAGAACCGACTTAAAAAAATCTATTAGCTTTTAAAAGTTTAAAATGATACTAAATCTAATATAATCAAATCATTAGAATCTAACCTTTACTTTTATAGGGTACCGTACCCAAAGGATAAAGTGGGATTTCGATGTCTGTCTGTCTGTCCGTCCGTCACCTGGATGTATCTAATAAACCGTGATAGTTACGACAGTTAAAATTTTCTCAGATAATGTATAAAAAAATGTGGCCGCAATGTAAAACAGAATAAAAATATATTTTTGTGGGTCTCCCATACAAGACACATGTTTATTTGCCGTTTTTATAGATGGACGGTACGGAACCCTCCGTGCGCGAGTCCGACTCGCACTTGGCCGGTTCTTAAAATTAATAATATATGTTTTAAAGCCATTGTCTGTATAAATACTCCACGCATGACGGGCAAAAAATAGAGGGTATTTATTTTTGGAATTTGTAATATATTATAATATAGCTTTTGTTTTACATTAAGTTATTTTCCATAAATATTTTTTTATTGCTATTAAACATATTTATTAACTTAGAGAAACTTTATTAATATTAATTTAATGGAAATTAAAACTGCTTGAATAAAAAAAAACACTTAATAGTAGGTTAGTATTTAACATAGTATTTTTTCTGTAGGTATATGAGTCTATTGTTATCGTAAATATTCATGATACTATAAGAGTATTTCACTGTGCCGACCTTTTTATTATTACATACCTCACAGTAAAGGGAGCGACGATGACAGTCTGACACGAGAACAACAGCATGTGTTGCCATTAACACGCAATCTTGGCTTGCTAGTGGTTAGTGGTAATTAAGAAAACAGTTAATTAATAAATTTCTGATAAAAATTATGTATGAGTGCTGCTGAGGACTGGCATACTAGTTAGCCAAGGTCAAAGTTAGTTACTCCCTACCTGATATACATTAAAATTAAATTACATAAAGGAGTAGATAACATAACACCGAGTTTTTACGATAAATTATATAGTAATATTATATTGTATTTTGTAATGGAAGTTATCATAGTGAAATTATATACAAAAACATTTCTTTGACATTTTTTGGAACCACATTGGTACATACGAAAAAGTTACAGAAATGCAGTAGCCGCCTGGCTCTATTTTACGTCACTCTCGTCCTGTACTCCGGATAAAGCAATTTCTAGGTTATACGTTTATCTCATTCAAAAAAAGCTTTTGCAAAATTCCTTTTTGAAAATAAATATGGCGTGCTGCCTCGGCCTTTAATTTTGTCTTATAAAAATATATATTTGATAATATGACGTTGTTAAATTTGTTTTTATTATTATTGATGAAGATGATTTTTTCAAGAAACTTTTTTTATTTAATAATTTACATAATTTATAATAATAATATAATAATAATAAATTAACATACATTATGTTATAGTAAGAACAATTCCAACGATCATTATTTAAGATTAAGAGAAATTTCGTTGTATGAGTAATATTTCCTTGTAGATTTCAAATTTGTGTTTTCTAATTATTGATTAATTAAAATAATTATACTTTCTATAAAAGCATTTATGATCTTAATTAAATTTTAAACTTTAATTAAGATCATAATTGTTGATTCGGCTAACTTAAAATATAGATGGTCAGACTATTAACTTCTACATATTGAACTATATTTTATTAAAAACTAACTTGTACCTATTACAAAAATATTGTTAACTATTCTTACTAAAAATATTAATTACGAACGTAAGCAGTTGCAGTCTATTTTAATTCTGCAAATGATGTAGAGTCAATAAAATGTAGAGTTATCATCGTTACCCGAATATGTAACTTATTTGGATATTTAGGCTATATTAGTAAAAACTCACTAAATAGATATTAAATATTTAAATACAAATATTGTTAGTAAATTTATTCAAATAATTTCACAAAAACGAAATTAGAAATTATGGATTATTAAAATATGATACACAGAGTATCGTGTTTGTGATGAAGTAGTTGTTCTTTAGTTAAAAAAATATTGGAATTGGTCGATAATATCTAAAAAAAAGTGCATTTATATATATGTGTACATGCAAACAAACAAATAACACTTCTTTATACAATTATAGTATCTATTCAACAATATTTAACAAATAATTACTTCTTATTTCCTTGCCGATAAACTTTGATCGCGTACTCTGCAATGGAGTAGAAAATTTGAGTTTAAATTTAATACTTAAAACTTTCTGCCTTTATTAGCAGGCTTTCCCCCGGGGCTTATAAATTTGTTCCATAAAGGGAGATGCATCCAAAGTTAGAGGGGTTTAATGTGTGAATTTTATTCATGCGGTTATAATAAAAGACTTCAGCGACGTATGAAAGGTATTTACGTTCTACATTTATGTTTAAAGACCGACCATATATTTGTTTATATATTATTCTACAACCGCATACGTCTGTTCCTTTTCTATGTATAATCTTTCACTTGTTCTAAATTTAGCAAACAAAATAACAGATGTTGGTGTTGCCATTTGTTATTTTCTTTGCTAAATTTATGATCAATGTTATGACTTCTCATATAGTGCTGTGTGTTATCTATAAACTAAGGCTTTTTTACTTTTACTTTAAATTATAGGTATACTTTTAGTCTGTAGACTATTAATGCTTTAACGAACTAAAAACACTGGCGATAGCCGGAATCCACGAGCTTGATACCAATACATATCGATAAATTTAGACAATGTGATTCACTGTCGAGGGGTTTTCGCAAATTCACAAACATCTAAAAACATCCTCACGATGGTAGGGCCACGCGGCAGCCTCGGCTGTTGTACAAAGGGCAGGCTCTTCTGGGTAAGTACCACGACCTCACAGAAGACCGGCGTAAAGTGGAAGTATAATACTTCCGCTTTACGTCTGGTGGGTGAGGTGGCCGGAGCCCAATTTTCAAAAGGTTGTCAACGCATCTGGAACCCTCAGGTGTAGCAGGTGTCTATAGGCGGCGGTATTCACTTAACATCAGCTTAACCGTCAGCTCGTTTAGCAACTTTTCACATTAAAAAAAACTTATAACAACGTTAAAGTTGTCTACATTTTATACGTAACGTTGAAAATCTTAATAACCTTTTACACGTAACGGTCTCAAATTTCTGTAAAACGTCGTAATATTCTTGTGTCTTGGGAGGTTTCACAAATAGGCATATCACGGATACACCCAGATTCGAAACAACAATTTCTGGATCACACAAAGTTTAGTCTATATCGAAATGGCAATTAGCAAGGTGACCTAAGCCGTTCTAATCATGCCACTGTTTTCTGTTTTGGCCGCTATTTATGAGTATGTTTCGTGGCAGTCTATGGGAGAGACCTATACCCAGCACGGACGGGACGAACACAATGGAATTATTAATAGTATTATCTCTCACTAGGTATTAAGGGCCTAGATTATTCCTCCTTTTTTGAAGTCGATTTAAAAAGTTAATTATTAAAGAAATCTTACAATATTATCAATATTCTAATTTCAAGTTATTCAAATCTTATAAAAATATAATTATGTAAAAAACAGAAAAAAATGTTAAATAAAGAAAGTAAAAAAGAGATGCATCGGCCGGGAATCGAACCCGGGCCGCCCGCGTGGCAGGCGAGCATTCTACCACTGAACCACCGATGCTCTTGCGGAGCTTCTGAATGTTATTAATAGATAACATTCAAATATTATTAAACAAACATTTATATTTTTTTTAAGTGATGATGAAGGTGGCAAACGAGCTGGCGGTTCATGGCGGGACATTTGCAACTCCCAGGTTACAGAGGCGTCGTCTCTTACCTTACCCTGGACCCGAGCCAACTCATTACCAGACGAAACGCATATATAACACTTGACCTTGATGCGGTTTTTTTTTACTAGATAGAGTGATTCAAAAGGAAGGTTTATATCTATAATACATTAAAGCCGGGGCGGGTAGCTAATTAACTTATAAAATCAACCGAACAAACACCCAAAAAATGCATCAGCCGAGCATTCTACTACTGAATCACTGATGCCTGCTGTAAGCGGGCGTAAATATAATTATGATTTGTACAGAAAATTTAAATCTTTAAAATTACAAATTTTGTTTCCGTATTTGTGTGTCCAAAAATCTCAAAAACTAGACAATGGATTGACTTGAAATTTATACTCAGTGTTTTAACTGTTCATTTCGAAGTTTCGAGGGAAACGAAAAAAAAAGGGCCGGTTAAGCTAGTAATAAAATAAGTAATTAAAAATGAGATTTCTGAAAATTTTTTTTTTCAATAATAATTAAGAGCAAATAATTTTCATTTGTAATCCTAAGAGAGGATAATAATGAAGTATTTTAAAGGCCAGAACGCAGTTTAATGGATACACATTATTTGCCATTTCTTTAAATAATGATTTATTGATTGGCTGTTACGTCCTCATCATGATTAGTCGGAATAGGGTTCCAGTATGTAGATAGTTACAATAAAATTTTACACATTATATCAGATCCCTGGGTTGACCCACAGTTTCGATTTGGCGTAATGACCAGGTCATGATTAAAAATTAATCTGCCTCTATACAATCCTCTTGCTCCAACACAACTGTGCACGTGGTGGCGCCATTACAGCTACAGTTGCCGCCACTATCATGTTATGATACAATAGTCAAACAAGCAAATTATTATGTTGCGATATCGGTTTTCACGATTAGACACATGCACATTAACTTTGGTCATTTTCCGCTTTGACGGTATATAATGTTACTATTTTTTCAGTAGTGGACGTGTTTATTGCTCTCTCAAATGTGTGGAATTACGTTTATAAAATCTCGTTGTTGTTGAAACTCCTTATCGGATTTAATTAAGGGTACAGTAAAGAAAAATAGAGCGTCTAATAGGGTGACATCGATTCGATCGTTTACGTATTGCCTGTCGCAATAATGAAGTGATTGTTTGTGACAGATGCTGAAGTCGTGCAGACAGCTGACGATGACTGTGCGTACCGCTGGCGCCTTGGTCGGCCGTGCATCATGCTCGTGGATGGACAGATATGGGCGCCCCGCGTCGCCGCCACCGCAACGCCCCATCCGATCGGCGAGCAAAGATCGCTCCATACGCCGGGTACGCCTGCACCACATCGCCCGGCTGACAACACACATATCACAAGCACATATAGCACAAAATTCATACAAGACCAAACAGTACGTCTGCGCCTACGAGCGCAACCGTACCCACGCGTTCTAGGACGGTTCTCACACTGCTCCCAGCGAACGGTTAATACAGTCGACGGCCACAGGGTTCACGGTTCAAACGTTGATGGTCCGGATTATTACGTCTTTCCTGATCGCTCCCTCTAAGCGAGCTGTTTTCCTTTTACATTTTAACAGGTTTTTGTTAGCAGTAGTTTGATCGAGTATATGGAATTAAAAGCGAATGCCCGGAAAATGAGCTATCATTACTCTTTTGTTTTTTTTTTGTTTTCTTTTCATTTGTGAGTATGTACATATTATATGTATATAATTAAATTCTTGTTGTAACTGTATACTCACCGGGATATTAAAGTCATAATAATGGCTTATGGGTTATCTTGAATTTTATAGCGTACATGAATTATCTTTTTTTAAGCTATTGCATAGCTTTTATCGCGGGCTTTGAGCGCGGTGACCGAATCGAGAAATTCCGTAACGAAAATAAAACTTAACACTACCCACTCCGCCTACCATGTAAGAGGAAAGATTTGATTATTTGTATGCATTGAATATGCTCCGAAACTATTGAACCGATTTGAAAATCTATATATATATATATATATATAGATATTTTATTTTCAAAATCCTTACTAAAACTTCAATAATGTAACCCAAAGTGTACAAAAATTACCTAAAATATTCTTTACATCGCGTGCGCTGCGAAAACTAATGATAGAAATATGATAGAGGTGATAGAATAAAATAATGTACTACGAATTTGCAAAACACATAATTATTTACAAAACACACGACAGGATATGTCTAACAATCTTATTCTTTAAACGAGCAATTCTTTTATATATATATATATATATATATATATATATATATATATAATCGGAATCTCGGAAACGGTTCCAGCGATTTTCATGAAATTTAGTATGTGCGTAGATTCGGGGACGAAAAATCGATCATCAAAAGGACATTTTTCGAAAATGTCCTTTTATCCCTGTTTTCAGGGAATGAAAAATATCATTCGAATATGACAGTAAATTTCGACGCAAAATCAAATGTTTTATAATAGCTCGGTCGGTAATCGGGCGGCCACAAAACAGGCGGCCGCGGTTCGTATCACGATCGTTTTTTTTCTATACCAGATTATTTTCTTTATTTTTTTATTTCCAATACACATGATTTACCAAAAAAAAACCGAGCAAAGCTCGGTCCTTCAGGTACTTAAAGTTATGCCACAATAAGTTCTTTTATTGTTTTTTTATTTTAAAATTTTGATTGAAATGCCGTCGCTAGAAAAGGCTCTTTATTTGTATCTTGGTATTAATCCTTATAAAAATAAATTACTTCATATTTAAGACTGCTTCAATATTTTAAAAGAGCCGTGATAGCTCAGTGTCCGGGCGTTCGCCTTTAATTCAATATACTCGAGCAACCTGAGTTCGATCCCCGGTGCCGGCACCAATGAAGTTTTTAACTTTAAGTGCTGACTTATCACGTGCTCCGCGGTGAAGGAAAAAACATCGTGAGGAAACCTGCATATTTTCGAAATAATAACAAAAAATATATATTTCGAAAATATGTGAAGTCCGCCAATCCGCAGTGGGGCCGCGTGGTGGACTATGCCCTGATACCCTCTGTATAGAGGAGGCCTTTGCCCAGCAGTGGGACATGTATTGGCTGTTACTTTACTTTCTTTACTTTACAATATTTTTATATAACTTTTTGAATTATTAAATTCGGACATTCCATTTGAAAGCCGCTTTACCGCGGCAGTACTGAGTGCCACAGGTTTTTTTTAATCACTTCACCGTTGGATTATAGTCAAGAAATGCAGTTTAATACTTATTTCTGCGAGCAAAATGCTGATATATGAAAAGGACTTTAAATATTATATGGTTCCATACAAGGATTGTTAATGCTATAAACATTGATTTTAATATCAGGATTATAAGCAACACGATATGAATTTTCATGTAAGAAAGCTGTGGTTGATCCACGAAACAGCCCTCCCTGTTACATGAATCGGCAGGTCCGACCGGGTAAGTACCACGATCCCGCAGAAGACCGGCGTGAACTGGAAGTGTTATACTGCTGCCTTTCATCTGGTGAGAGTGGTAGCTAGGGTCCACTTTATTAAAAGGTGGCAACAATCTGCAACACTTCGGGTGTTGCAAATGTCAATGGGCGGTTATCATGAACTACCGGCTCGTTTACCGCCTTCTCACATAAAAAAAATAAAAAGTGATGCCAATGTTTTTCTTATGGGTTTGTTTAAAATAGGTGTATTAACGAAAAAAACTACAACAGCTTAGTTTTATTATATGTTTATTCTCACATCTCTTGAACACTATGAAGTAAAATTTTTCTTAATATCCAAACGAAGGCACTTTATGGATTGTTAATCTAATTTATATTGTTATTTCCTAACAATAATTACCATTTATTAAGCTCGATGGACTTTATTATTCGTAAACATTATATAGCACCCTGAAATGGAGGCAACTCAAAATGGCGGGACACGGTGGCATGCAAATCATTGTCCATTGGCCATTAAATGACAACGTTAGTGGTTGTAATGGCAAGCTCGGAGCTCTCCATCGATCGCTCTGACGTCACTAGGACGCTTTGAGCTATTATTATCATTCAGTGAATGAAGCTTTACGCGCTCTAGTCCATTTGCGCGATGCCTTTAACGTTTTTTTGTTGATTTTATTCTTGGAACGATTTAAAGTATTTGCCTAGTTTTAATTGGTTTATCGATTTATATACATATATATATATATATATATATATATATATATATATATATCGATTTATTTATTAATTTCATCAAACTTTGCCCATTTTTGTTACTCATTACTTGAGTCTTTGCTTCTTAACCTAATCCTTTAAAGGCGGCTTATAGATAATAATAATATCATAAAAGACCAATAGGTATTTCAAAAAGTATGCTTTTTTATCAACAAGTGAGTTTTCTTTTAGGAGGTTAGAAGCTCAATCTAAGGGGTCATGGTGTAACATTCTTAGAAAAACTTTTTTTTACTAAGGTTTAATCAATAACGCTCACAAATGCACGTGCATTTATCTGCATAAATTCACTATTTAAAGTTACATCTTGAGTGCAGAGCCTAGCAATAAAAATAAAAATTAATCCTAAAATTTTAAGAGCAACGGCGACATCTCTCGTTACAAATGCTGTAAAGGATGCACACTAGATGGCCGACATTGTTAAAATTTCAATAGGAAAAACGTAGATAGATGACGAGATTTTCGCGCTGTGAGGTCATCGGCCTTTTTGCTTAGTTGGTAAGAAGGTTCGAATCGAGTAGCGTCAAAAGTTTTTGTTAATTTATGTAAAAAAACTCACAAGTTAAAATTATCTGTAAGTCATACAAATATTGGTGCCAGGTGGAAATCAAACGCGGTGCCAAAGACCCTTACAACTCTGCTAACTACACAGTTGCCAATATATATTAAATAAACTACTGTATAACTGGCATAGAAGTAAATATTTCTTTCATTACTTCGAAGTGAAAAATTAAGGTTACGTATGTATACGGGCTGATGAGTCGATGGCGCAGCTACTAAGCTATCGTTTGATTCCCACATGGGTCAAGTATTTGTGTACCCAACTGATAATTGTTCCAGATCTGTGTGTTTGTTCCTATGGAGGGCTAGTGTCAGGCATCGGATAAAGGCAGAAGGATGATGATGATGATGATGATGGTGATGAACATATGTATACAGGGTGGCTTTTCTAAGTGTATCCATTTTTTTATTAAACTCTAGACATAAATAGTGTTATATAAAAATGATAAATATTTAAAAGTAAGTAATAAATTACATTCATTTGAACTTATCTTAAAAAGTGCGTGATTTATACGCAACTCATTTATTTTACGCGAGATCATTCATAACTAACACGCACACAAGTGCGTGCACAATAAAATTTAGGTATTTATGAATGACTACCGCATTGTCAACACGTTCTGTTTTTTCGGGAATAGAATGGCTTTTTTTTGAAAAAAAAAAAATGTTTTTTATTTCAAAAAACGATTATACTACCGAGTCTGAACCTCCTGTGTAAATTTGGGCACTTCTCCAAAAATCTCCCTCTTATTTTCATCTCTCCATATTACTGACGGATTTCATCTTTCATTTGACAAAGTCTTCCCTGTTCGACCACAGACGCTGTAAAATGTTCGAAACGTCTGAATATAAGGAATGAAGAACTTAAAAATGTCCAAATAGTTTTTGTGGAGTACTTTGTAAGTAAATATAATATATGGATTTTATTTTTTTTTTTTCGTTTAATTTTTTTTTAATTCAAATTATGAAAATTCATTCATTTATATTGAATTTTCATAATTCATGATCAGTATTCTCGTAAATCCAAGAAATCATCAAGAGTCTTTTTTTAATGTGGTATTTTTTTGTGACAGGTTGACTTGTGTATCGAGCCTGGGCAATCTCTGGGTCTGATGATCAGAGGAGGTTTGGAGTACAACCTTGGCATCTATATCACCGGTGTTGATAAAGATTCAGTAGCTGACCGAGCTGGTTTAATGGTGATTACATTTTGTAACTTTATCGTATATATTTTTATCCTCACTTACCCCGTGATATTTTACAATAGGGTAAAGAAATTTAAATTATATTTATTTTAACCAAGAAATTTAGAAGGTACTAGCGGACCGGACAGACGTTGTCCTATACACACGTCTTAAATTCGAAAATTTCAAACTTTTTTGAATTAATTTGTGAATCTAAATCATTCTCGAATCCACCTGAAGTGACATACACACATACAGAAGAGTTATATATATAAAGATTACAATAGCGTTACACAAAATCATACCATTAACTACTAATATCATTAATTCATAATTTACTTTTTGTGCATAGAAGTTACCCCATATTTACAAACGACTCGCTTAATCATACACTTAAACCTATTTTCTCTTAATGATCCAATATTATTAAGTGTAGCAATAACTTTTGTTGGAACTTCATATATTAAAGTCTGGATGTTTTCTTCAATAACTCGTAGAAGTAATGAGAAAATGTGGTGCCGTCTATCACGCTCTTGCCGCGGCTCGTGTTTGATCTCCTAACGTTTGATATTTATGAGTTGAACAGACCAACCCTCGCTCTACGAGTTTTTTTTTTTCAACCTCTGCAATAACTGTTATTTATTGAAAGTTACTAAAATATATTACATATATCGATATTATAAGCAATCGATTGTACACAAGAGAATAATGGTGCAGGGATCGAACTTTCTTTTTCGAGTGAAATACGCTGATAAAAAGATGTATTTTAAGCGACTTTTTGGTTTTTAATTCTTTGTTCTTTAAACAAAGTAATAAATATACGTATATATATTCAGAAACTAGCGACCCGCCCCGGCTTCGCACAGGTGCAATAAAAGACAAAAATGGTTACTGTGGGTTATCGTTCGGATATAAACATATATGTCCACATAAACATATAAGGTTTAGCAAGCGTTTGCAATGTAAGCGCACAAAAATATATTTGTTACCTACGTTATCACATTCCGAATCTTTGAATTTGTCAACTTTGCTCTACTTTAGCATGCATGTACACCACATTAAACTTTCCTCTTGAATAAATCTACCTATTGCTGAAAACTGCATTAAAATCAGTTGCGTACTTTAAAAGATCTAAGTGTACAAACAGCCGGAGCGAATTTGTTTTATAGTATGTAGAGATATTATGTGTAGCAAAGTGTGGGAAGTAAACTATAATCAGGTCAGGTGGTCCTAACGCGGATGTGAATACTGTAGGTGTAGTGTAATCCATTATAACCAATCTGGTGCAGGTGGGAGATCAGATCCTGGAGGTGAACGGGCAGTCGTTTGTCGACGTGACACACGACGAGGCTGTCGCGCAGCTCAAGTACCACAAGCGTATGTCGCTGTTGGTGCGTGACGTGGGCAAAGTGCCGCACGCGTGCACCGCTTACGGGGAGAGGGACCAGGCACCAAGGTTCACAATTTTTAGTAACGCTTTGTGTTAACGTGTATGGTAAATAAAGCTATCGTTAAGATGTTTGACGTATTTGTGTCAAACTTAAACCCTATGTTTATTTAGTATTGGTCCAATCTATGCAGAATGCGCGTAAAGAAGTAATAAGTTAATTATAGTTCAAACTTATTTTCCGTTATTTAGTTATATTAAATTTTATAAAATCCGTAATAAAAATTATGTATCATCGTCATTGGTTTTATGTTTATTTCTTGTTTAAGTAAATAATATCATATGGGTTGTATTTCATTATATGTGCCTATTAACTACTTTAAGAAAATATAATACCGCTATGATATATAGCATATCAAAATATATGAATAAAGGTAATATCAACCTGACTTATATTAAATCATTAGCAAAACTTACTAATAATATATTACGCTCTAAGGGATCATATTCCACGTAGGAGAGGAAAGCAGATACACAGTAAAAAACAAGAACTAAATAATTACTACTGCTACTCAAAGACCTTTGATGATCCTTAGGAACTTTTATACATCACAACAAAAACTCATATTCGCAAATTCAAAGTTCCTTACTGAGATTTGCCGTAATTAATCATACGCTCGTTAGCAAAGGTACATTTCGCCGAGTCATGGTGTTTAATATGTTATCAATCAATTATATTACTTTCTGTTGCGGCTGGTGATAAGAGGGCCGATTATTTTCTCACTCAACGTTTAATTAAACTATTAAGAGGAAATGCAGCTAGTGTTCATGGCTAATGCTGCGTGGGCTATCGTTGTTATAAAATCTGTAATTTTATTAGTATTTATCAATATTATAATTGATTTTTCATTGTTTGTAATATTGGGTTTGCCATCGTGTCGTAGTAATTAGTTTCACGGTTTCTGCCGCTACTCACGGGGAGGGCCCGAGCAAAGGTGACGCTCTACAGGAAGGCTTACTACGTCCCCCCCAATTATTATTATTATTATTAAAGGTTTATTGTTTATACTACTTTAGAAGATCCATTGTAGGCAGTAGTGATCTAGTGGCTTACATTGACATCCGATCTTGACACGAGTTCGAACCCCCATGAAGTGCAACAATTAGTTTTGCATTTTCATGATTTCTTAGGTGCCGGAATTATGCTCGGTTCAGGATGACATACTCATTTAATATTTTCCTTTGGGTATTTACAAGCTTCGATAAACGATAGAAGACTTAATTGCTATAAAGTTAGTTAGTGGCGCAGTTGCTAAGTTTAGTAGGTTTTAGCACCGCGATTCGTGGGTTCGGCTCCTGCGTCGGACATCTATTTGAGTGACCCACAGACAATTGTGTCGTATCTGGGCGATTATTCCCAAGGAGGGTTGACGTGAGGCAGGCAGGCCAATAGCTTTAAAAACATAATTCACATGTTGTGCTGACCCCACCTAGGTCAAATAAGAGCGGGAGAAAGAAGATGAAGGGTACAATTTTTATTTTAAAAAAACATTGCCCTCACTTTAGGATAACATTATCCTGTGTGGTAAGGTCGGTTTTTACAAACATAAATTACACGAGGACAAACACCCAGATGCGAAACAACTATCTGTGGGTCGCACAAATAGTTGTCCCGTGTGGGAATCGAACCCACGACCCGAAGCCAATACCTTGGCCACTGCGCCACGGAGTCATGAAATATAATAGCATATAGCATAAAAGTAACAATAGAGGTATGTAAGTAAGTATTAATGTATTAAAACAGAATTAGCGGCTGGGGTAAGAGACGAGGAGCGGCCGCCGTGGCTGTAGAGCAGAAGGCTAAGTCGTTGCTCCCAGCTAGCGACTTGCCGGCACTTGCTTACTACATGGAGGAATACGCCGCTAGACGCCTCACACCGGATGCTTTCCTCACAGTGCTCCGCGATTTGCTCGACACCCCTCAAAAGGTAAGGTCTTCCCCTTATTTATCATTAGTGCCCGGTTCCTGTATTAACAAAACAGTTGCATTACTTACGGAAAGTGAGTTACTAGCGCTCCCTTAATCTACAAGTCGTTTTGAAAGTTACGAAGCTATATAACTAACGGCTGTCCGTTGAAAATAGGAACCGGGCTTAAATGTAGACACATAACTATACGTATAGTATAAATTTCGATCTCTGAAAAAGGACAATTTGAACAAACAGCGTTACCTTTGTCGCACGAAGATCTAACAGATAGTAAGAATGTGTGACAGAGATCTCATGATCTCATCTTCTTAATGATCAGACATTCTGATCGTTAAGAAGATCATTTTGATCAATTCAGAGAGTTTAACCATCCTTATAGCAAATAAAATAAAATTTGAAAAGCCATTTGACAGCTGATTAGTTTACCTCTACGATCATCAGTTTTTCAGAAACCACTATAAGTGGCTCTATTCCAAACTAATTACCTGCATTTGAATTATAGTTTTAAATTGTAAATGTGTGAAAAATAAAAAGCAAATTTTAATTCCCACAGAAAACGCAAATACAATAAACCAGCCGTAACCATTTCGAACTGTGTTAAATCGGTGATTTATCTGAAATGGCTTTGTTTATGGGTGACATAAACGGTTTCTTACGGGAAGATAAATCTCTATCAACCTACCCAAATGCCGTAGGAAGCTTTCGAACGTTTTATTGCAATCAAGTCATTAACCTAAGAATAAAATCAATCTTTAAAGCTTTTATCCTCTTTGTAAATATCACGATATTCTAAATACAAAGCTTTTAAAAAATTAAAACCTTATTAATTATTGGTAAATTTTACGAATTTTATTTGCAGACCTATTTCAGTATTATATACTTAAGTTTTAGTAAACCCTCGATGCGAAAACATAGTTTTTACGTTTAAAAATTAAGTTTTTTTTCTCCTCGCTAATTAAGTAAAATTTAATACAAAAGCCATATCAAAAAGCCTTCAACCTTCCATATCTTATTGTACTCAAATTAAACGTTACGAGTATCATTTAGGACATATAGTAAAAGTGTTACAAAATGTATCTCAAAAAACTTCTTACTGCTGTCATTTTATGAGCAGTGATAGAGAATGTCCGTTAATATTTGGAATTTTAATGCAATTGTATGTTATCAGTTCTTGTCGTTGACAGTATACGCTCCTTACCGAAATACGGGAGTTCATGCTGCCTGAAGACCGACCACGTTTCGACGAGTTGGTATACAGGCGGGGTGAGGAAGCAACGGAGCATCACATAAAGGTATATAAAGTCTGAACTAAATACTCACATACATGTAAAATGATGTCACGTTAGACAATGTTATAATTGAATCATAAGAATTACCTTCGAGAAAGGGCTCTGACTCTCGAGATGGGAGGATAGAAACTTCGCAGGAAAACTCGGAGAGTTCATTACGGCGAGACTCCGGGCGCTATCTCGTAATCCGCTTCCCGTCTGAGAGCACTAATTAGAATTTTTCGCTCCGTTAAGTACGCCCCTGTCCGACACAGCTTGATAGTGTATTCGCTCAGCGTTTCTGAATTAGCTGAATCAGGTACCTCGTGAGCAGAGTTTACTTTTCACTCGTTCATGAATTTATATATCTACTATATATATACGGTATAAATTGACAGTTATTGAGACTAGAGAGGTGTTTTTGAAAAGTAATAAAATTCAATTGCACTTTTTATACTGCATTTCCACGCTTATTCCTCTGTTGGGTTATCAGACTACGAAAGCACCGCCACCTGCTGCTATTATTATGACTTTTTATCACTGGCAATGTTTTAAAAAAAATTCAAAAAAGATCCACCTACGGCATATAAGTTTACAGTTTTTTTGGAATTCAAATTTGAATTTTATTCAAGATATTGTATTTAGCATTCTTGTCGGACGGAAAATTTAAATTCGCGCTGTGAACTGAATTATGAGAGCTGTGTCAGAGTAGAAATGAAGCCGTCCCGATTTCTCCGTAGCGTGGAGGCGAGCGGCACGTGCTGCCTTCCACCACCATGCACGAGCTGCACGATCCGGTAAGTCACCTGCATGTCGCATGTCGCATGTCACATGCCAAGGTTGGTTTGTTTGAGCTTTCCGTGTCTCCAATATATTTTGGCTTTGGTGCTTCCCGTATTGTATATGTAATACATAATTATGTACGTAGACAATCAATGTGAAATGACATTTTGTTGCATAATAACTGTAGTAAGCTGTTCATGTTGGAAGTTTATTATTATAGGCATTGGCGGGAAACGACGTGTGTTCGTCAGTTGTTGAGATGTAAAGTCCTTATTTTATTATGATCTCTTCCTATACTTTAGATATAAAAAAAGAAACACGAGGTTAAAGCTAGATCACTGTAAATTTTTATAAAGAAAATGTGTATTTCCTTCCTTAAACTTTTAAATTTGATATATCGGAGATAACTAAACTTAATCTTTTAGAATGAAAGGCGTAAAACGTAATGTTGGGAATTAAATAGGACTTGCCTTGCGTTAGTAATCGATCTATGAATCGGGCTAAAGGAAGGTGGGGTTAGTAGAGAGCTATTGTTGTAGGAGGGGCCGTCGGAGGCACCGCTAGTGGTGGACCATCGCTCTCCCTCCGAGGACTCCGGTCTGGGTCTACCACCACACGACCACGCCTACAGGTCAGCTATACACACACCGACCACACCGTTTACACGGCCAAGACGGGCCATGACTGTGAGCACAAAGATCGTTGTACAAAACAACACCAATTTCGGCAAACGGACAATTACATTTTTTACAAAATCTTATACATACATTACATTAAAGTAAAGTAACAATTTTTTTTTAAATTTCATTTAAGATCGATGTTAGATGTGCATTTTAGATAAGGCAGAATTAACATTTTAGATAAGCCCGAATGAAAAGCCATCGTTGGTGAAAACGTCTAAATCTTTTTGCTCGTATAGGAAATATAATAAATAAAACATTGTGTGTGGAATTAAAATCATACTGTGGGAGAAAGTATTTTTGTGCCACTCCTATTAGCACAAGGGTAAATCCATCGCATAACGACACTCGCAAAGCTCAAGTATAAAAGTACCCTGTAAGTGTGAAAGCAAGGGTGGTCCTTGTCGAGCTTTGCACCCTCTTTTACTTTTGGCAGAGAAAATAACCTTAGATTTTTCCAGTCCTTCACGAGATGGTTTCGTGCAAACATCTCATTGGCTTATTGCCAACACTCGTACTTTTTATTCAGCATCGGGATGGATTACTTTATTGCAACAGAAATGTTCCGATCCACCGTAAACGTCGGTTTTATGTCGCGATCCGGCACCCGTAAGGGTTCTTTTATTTTAAATGCCTGTTAAAAACCGATTCTCGTTTGGCGGTTAAGAGAAAATGTCGTTAAACTACAAGATAAATATAATATTTTCAAAGTTACTTCATCTTATTCTTGCATTAGATTAAATCCAATTGAAATCTAGAGATGTATTGTAATGAATATGTAATATGTTTGTTAATAATCATTTTGATTCTGTTAAATTCTATCGTTACACGTAGTCCCTTAGATGTTAGTTGTTTAAGTTACTTAGCGTTATTTTTTGGAAAATAGCCAATGAAGTGAGTAAAAAGGCTATATGAAGGATATGTAGTGGTGACCACCGTGCAATACGCACAATACGATCAATCGTAGTCGTTGAGTTGAATGACCTGTGTTGTGTGGGGCAGGAGCGGCAGGGCGTGGAGGGCGGCGGACGCGCCACCGCCTGAAGACGACCTGGACCCACCGCACGAGGTGATTTTGCCAGAGTTACCTACACTGTTCTGTATATGGACCATGTTTAGCTCTTCGACTCCTCAAGTTTCGGGTGCCACTCAAGCATTTACCAACGGGGGCACAATACGCTCGCACTTCTCTTTGAACTCTATTAGCGTAATAGTCTGTAGATCATTAGATTAGCTACTTTATCGATTTAAACATTAACTTATGTCTCCTAAAACAACTTATAACACTGAGATAAAGTAATTGTACTGTAGAATATGTTTAGTTTTCCTTTTCGCTCTTGTTATGTGCCCACAAACAAGCGCTGGCAGACAGAGCGGCACCTCACCACAACCTATTCTTTGTAATTCACGTTTCTTGCATGATTTGATAACGGCTAGTGAATAGTACATAAATCACAATATTGCGACCGTTATTCCCTCGGAACGGTTCCCATTGTAATAGTACCATGGTAAATCTGGCAAAATTTTATTAGTTTACATCTCACAAATTAGGGATACAATACATTATGTACGCAATACATTATGTACGCCCATCGGTAATAGCGGCCAATTTGTTCTATCATTTTCGCTTGAAAACACTCGATGATATTATTTTATCATAAACATTCATTTCAAATTTGTTCTGTTCATGTACATTATAAATAAAGCATTTTAAATAAATAATCATTCAATAAAGATAAGAAATACTTCTTATATTTTGTCTAGGTTTTTAAGCATTTAAAAATGGTTTATAAAATGTTAATTATATATGGTGGGTGTAAATTAGCTATAACGAATCTCCGTTGATGACAACGTTAAAGCATGGTCCATTGCAATGTTCTCTAGTTAGACATTTTAGTTACTTATGTTATCGGCTCGTTGGTCTAGGGGTATGATTCTCGCTTCGGGTGCGAGAGGTCCCGGGTTCAAATCCCGGACGAGCCCAACCTTTTTCTTCAGATTTAATTTTTCCTTACTTATTTATCACATTTTTACTGCAATTAAAAATCAAAATTTTACTAACATTTATAATAATTATTATTTTGTTAATTTTTATAATTATTAATAATGATGATTTATGACGAACAGTTAACAAGTAACCACAGTCTTTGTACTATTATTTTATTTTCGAATAATTTTCCTTAATGAAAAATATTCGTCAAATATTATTATTTATCACGGTAAACTATTTTATTATTTTGATATTACTTCTTTTATTTCTTATTAATAGCATGTGAAATCAAATATTAATGATTATTATTAGTTAATTATTTACATGACTCATTACTTGCAAAAAAGCAACCATTTTTAAAATTAAAGTTTATTTAATTGTTTTTTATTTTTATAAATAAGTTAAAACTTGCTATTTTGGTGCTATTTTTTATAATCATTATCTATCAGTTAAAGTGAAGCATCATTGAGCTTTAATTATTTTAATGCGTTATCTTATTAACACTAGTTCAAAAAAATATGTTTAATATTTTCAGTGAACATATTAATGCATTTATGGCTAATCGAAATCAAAGCCATGATAAATCAGGGCTTTAACTTTACAACTTGACCCGAGCATAAACTTTTATTGTCAGTTGCAAATAAGTTCCAAACTTGAAACATTTGATGTTAGTTTTTTACTAGGCCATAAAATGCATTATAACTGTTTATTTTCAAAAAGGTACTTTGCTTGGCGACATGCTCAAAGATGGAAATTTTTATTTGACGATTAAATGTGAAGTAAAATCATTTATAAACAATTTTGGAGCAAAAACTTTACTGATACCACTCTATTGTTATGGAGGATAAGACCTTAAAATTTAACCTTTCTAGAAACCTTGCATCAATACACGGAATACACGGAATTAATAAATGCGATTATTGAACCAATATATATTTATAATGTACATATTTGAAATACTTTAATATTACACTTTATATCATCATCATCATCATTTCAGCCTGTTTGAGTCCACTGCTGAACATAGGCCTCCCCCACAGACTGCCATGAAGTACGATCCTGAGCCACCTGCATCCATCGACTTCCCGCACATTTGCACAGGTCGTCACTCCATCTAGTGGGGGGTCGTCCTACACTGCGATGGCCAGTACGAGGCTGCCAATCGAGAACCTTTCTTCCCCAACGGTTATCGGTTCTACGAGCTACACTTTATATATTCACACATATTAATATCATCATTGTTATAAATAATTAATATTATTAATTAGGAAAATATTATTATTATATAGTTCAATACAACATATTTTGAACAATCTAAATACAACTTTAGGGTCGACATACTGTGGTAAAACATTTTCTGGTGATGTACGAATAAGCAAGCTCGTCCAGGCAAGTAGTTACCATGGGTGTTTGTCCGCGGTAATTCATGTTTGTAAAACGTCCTTACAACACAGGATAATGTTATCCTAAAGTAAGGGCAATGTTTTTAAAAAAGAAATGCCTCATACAAGACCGCCATGAATTAGTACTCTTGTGGTTTAGGAAGCCAGGGCTCTCTTCTAAAGGTTGGAAACGCATCTACCTTAAGAGTTTTGTATCTTCTTCACGCAACATCGGGTGAACCGAATATTCGCTTGCTTTAAAATTTTATCACTTGTTAAAATTTAATACATTTCACTCTCACAAAAATTCTGAAAATTATTCTCAATTTCAGTACTGATATTTAAAATAATTACTTTAAAAAACTTTTAAGTTAAACGGTTTTATTTTATGTTTTTTTTTTTTTGTTAATATTGTATTGTCATCTAAATTAAATGTGTGTACCAAATTTCAGATCAATCTGACAACGGCAAGGTGCTTAAATTTCAATTTCTAATTTTGACCCAAATAAATAAACAAACAAATTCCGTACGGGTCGAGCTAAATAAAACCGTTTAAAAAATATGATTTTTTGTTGATTATACCAATTTATATGAACAAACAAAGCCTGAGCAAAAATTACGCAAAAGTTGGTAAATGTATAATTTTTTTCTCATTCTAGGAAAAGGAAAAAAAATGAATTTATTCTAAAGTAAATAACATAACTTCCTACAGCTAAAGCTAGGGAAAAGAAACATTACTGAAACTTAATATACAAACCTACCAGACGAAATAAATTTCACCATAATAAAAATACATTGTTATAAATGTCATAATCAACCTGTCAGCCACGTTTCTTTTATTAATAGTTGGGAGCGAGAGAGCTTAGATCAGAAAATTGCTTCTTCAAAAGAATATAAATTGAAAAATTTGTTGAGCATTACTATACTCTCCGACTGTTAATTATCGGTTAAATAATTTTTCTACAAGACAATTTTGTAAAATAATTGTATCCAATTATGCCATAATTAGGTGCATATAGAACTGAATGTAACATAGCATCAAAATGGATGGCGTCTGTGTAGTAATTTTTATTTCATATTGTAAGTTGCACACAACTCTACTGTAGAGTACACAAGCCCTCTTGCCTTAAGAAGGATCCTCTCAGATGTCTCTAAATCTGAGAGGCATGCAACAAAGTTCCTTGACGAATCCTTTGATGAATAAATGTAACATCTGAAATCATACAAATGTTCACTACCTTGCATGCTAGACGTGCTCAGAATATATTGTATTAGTATTTAATTTAACATAAATTTTTTTTTAAAAAATTGATTAACACGTACTTGATAAACAGTTGGCATTCGTTTATGACATTAACAGTATTTATTCGTTTTAACAGTATTTACAATTTATTTGTAAAATATTTACAACATTAAATCTATTGAAATTATATATTTTCTAATAAACCTAGTTCACGTGAAATGGTGCCAAAACGCTAGCTGCATAATCTTCATTATATACTAGCTGACCCAGCAAACGTTGGTTTGCCATAGAAATTATTTTAATTTTTTTAATTTTTAACAAGCAATTAAAAAATAAAATTTTTATTATTTTATTAATATTTACAAATGAGTTTAAAAACTTTATTAACTGGTTTCATTTATAATGGACTTATCAATATACAGCGCAAGCCGCTGTTATTAGAACCCTCGAAGTATGTCAGTAGTCACCAATTTTACCACAGGTTTCCACTGAAAAAAAATGTATGAAATGTAGAAATGTAAGGTACGAAAGTTTGTGTGTAAATCGCTCATCTGTATGTATCAAAGAAGAAACTAATAACTGACTGATCACTGCCCAAACCGCTGTCGGCAGAAAATTTTGACTACCTTAAATCGCATAACGAGAAGGAGTTATGAAAAATTCACAGTTTAAGTAAAGATATAATTTTGATATAAATTACGTTTCATACGTTGTATATATACAACTTTTCGTTCGAACGGAAGTCTTGCTCTTTTGATAAGTCATCAAGATAGCTAGTTTCTCTCCCTTATTCGACGGGTTAACGAACTCTGAAGAGCCCCTATAACCCCAGTTTAATTTGGACTTAAGCACGACCGAAACCCCAAGAGGTTCATAATACGACTCATTATATTTAACTGCTTTACTAAATTATAATCAAGTAAAGTTACTTTTTCCATGTAAGTTGCTTATTCGTGCTTAATATACTTACAACTTACATACGTACACTTTAAGCGTTCCGAATTTTATAAACGTTTATGTGTCATTTGAAATAATAATTTTTCATGCCGATGTGATGTTTTTTACAACTACCAACTATGCGGGAAGTTTTTTTTTTAATTAATAACTATATAACTATTTATAAAAATATCATAGTGCGGTGTTGATTGAAATGAAAGTACGAGCATTTACCTTAATTCAGATACTATAGGTCATAGGGCGCTTCCTAAAACATTGTCAGGCGGAGCTTTTACGGGGTGTGTGCTTAGGGAACTTGGTTGGTCCGGTGGCTAAACATCAGTCAGTGCGCGCCAAATCGCACCGCGCGACGCACGTGTTATCAGTGTCATGTCGCGACGCCGCCGCCGCGTCGCATTCCGCGACTACATGCCTATGGACGTTCGCGCCATGGCCAAGGTATTTTGAGAAAACGGCCAGATGTTCCCGCGAAAAGGCCAATTTTTAACCTATCTTAGACAATAATTCAATAAAAATGTTATTGAATTTTCCATAACGACGTAAATTTCTGCAATTGAGTTTGTTTCTTTTGTATTAATCACACTCTTGCGGAAAGCATACGCTTTCAACTTGAATTTAATTAGTAGTCTATAGAAACATTGTAGAGTATTGAAAGCTCTTGTTAATTTCGTCTTATCAGACAGCCCACTAAAGCTCGCATTTTCACGAGCGGTGAATTTGATGGAGCTTTGAAAGTCGATAAGGATAATGAGTTCAAGGGAAAGTATATTCAAATAAAGATAAAATACATTTTGCATAACATTATAACGATTTCATATAGCTCTGTTCAAACTCATGACGCCTGCTTAAATTAAATTGCAATTTTACAGAGCGTCATATTTCTTATTTCTAAATGATATTTTAAACAATTTGATGTAACAAGCGTTTGTTCAAAGGCAACACAATAAATATAACATATTTAATATAAGATATTTAATATAAGATCGCGATTACTTATTACCGTTTAAAGGAAATTAAAATTAAGATTGGATTTGAACCCAATTATACTTAAATATGTAAAGAGTAACTAAAATGTCAACTTTTGGTTAAAAACTAGTACTTATACAACAATACATCTTTTTTTAAGAAAGCAGTATTTATTTACATGCTTTTGATAGCTATTATTGACTAAATGTGATATAGATAACATACATTTTAACACTTCAGCACACATTATCATCACAAATTATAATAAGTACATCATTCATCCGGCTATATGCCTATCTACTTATGACATCGTCTAAAGAATACGCCTTTAAAAAAAGCATCAAGCAAACATTTCAAATGTTCTCATAGAGTCTTGACACATATACAGTTCTGCAGCGTGGTAATTTGTATTTAGTTCCAAAACAGTAGGTAAGTTCTTAATCGTTTTCTATATACAAAAATATGTATATTTGATTTTATCACCTTATTTTATTTATTATTAAATATATGAAACATAATGAATGAATATTCATTCATTCATTATGTTTCCAGTTGTATCATGTAACTTTCATGCTTTCTTTCTTTCAGTCTATAAATAATATGTATTAATTATTACACAAATGATGTAATATATTATGGAAACTAAAATAATCGCTGCTAATTTTTCCATTAAATTAATTAAAACGAGTAACTCAATAACTCGAAGGCCATGATAAAGTAACTTTTTAAAACTGCTACTGTTGTTACTATCTTACATTACAGTAAATCAAATTATATTGTATATAGTTTGATTTACTGTGATAGCGTGGTATGAAATTCTCCTTTACGAATTCTAAACTACTCTGGACCGCCTGAAGATTGACTGGCAGATAATGCTGATGGCACAAAGTCCACCTTTGTAATATTTTTGTATGCATAAAAAATGAATGAATAAATAAATTTTTCATTCATTTTAATTTTCATTTTGAAAAATTATTAATATATTATGATTATTGTAAATGTACATTACTTAACAGTTTACAGTCCTTCCAGTATAAACTCTGACTACTCTTGACAGCTGACGCAGCTAGGCTTGACAATTAAATTATTAATTTTCAAAAAAAATTTCAACACTACTAACTGTTAATTAAAACCATGAAAGCTACAATACAGTAATGATGAAAAACGAATGGCCGTAAAAATAATTCATCCCATCAATTTATACACATTTATTCCATTTAATAAACATTTACTGTGGCACGCAATCTTAAAAATCGAAAATCCTAGATTCCAAGGTATAAGTTCAATGGAAAAATTATTCATCTATGTTAATTGCGTGACTTCATAGAAATGAACATTATAAATAAAAAGTAATTTTTAACAAGCCCAGCTCTAGCACGAAAGAGAATTTCTAGAAAAATTAACACGCAAGTGTTAATGATACGACTGGTGGTAATTGCAGGCCCCGCAGTCACCGCCTCCGATTTGTTCGATTTTTTATAGTGACAAAATATTTCAAACATTTGTAATTTCAGTAACGTGAGAAATAAAAGATTATTTTTTTTAGTATGACGTCGACTAACCTAATATTTTCAGACAACTTTTCTTTGACGTCAGAACCTTTGTGAGCTAAATGCAAAAATAGTATGATAAATCAATTGAAACGCGGCTCTAGCCGTCGCCTTGCAGTCTCCTCGCGACCAACGTCTGCTTCACACCCTGACTAAAGTAAAGTGTAATATTACATTACTAATACTTCCTGTCTACGCTAGGCCATAGCTCCGCTACTTGAAAGGAATACGTAATGGAAAAAGTGCTTCCAAACGAACGTGACTTGTCTTTTCTATTCTTGTTCGCCTCAAATTTTAATTTTCCCGCAATACTGAATGATTCCTGCATGAATTGATGTTGTTGTGTGTAACACTCGGTCACGCTTTGTACCTTTTCAATGTGCTTCTATAACGTACACGGTATTGAGCTGTTATTATTATTTTTTTCTCTATGTTGATGGCAAAAATGTTTTTCATCTTTATTTATTACTTTGATCAATTCAATAAGATTTTGAAATATGTTACTTTTTTATTAGTGTTAAAATTTATAACTTCCTTAAATAAAAGAGATTTGGTTTCTATTCGACTAACGAGGTACTAAAGCCGTACTCAGAAGATAAATTTAAAATTAATTAACAACGACATCGCTTATTCGCAGAGGTATGTTTTAATGTCCTGTGAATTAATGTTATGTTTTAAATTGTATTTTTTTAACTTTATTTAAGAACCGATTTACTTAACTGAGTGCGGCCGAACTACAGTTGATGATTCATAAGTGCATGTATTTTATCTTTAGGAATACGAGGAAGAGGGGCGTCGATCACGAAGGCATTCGTCACCGTGCAACTCAAGAGAGGGCAGCACCACGGCTTTGCATACGCAGCCCTACGATGACACCGTGAGTACCGTTGATTTAGATAAAATATTTAAAGTTAATGTCCTTCCAATGGTAAAGTGCGAGTTTCGTTGTGCCTGTAGGTAATTGTTATATGGATAACGATTATGAACGTGACCATATCAAAGGACGAAAAAATAAATACTTATAATAAAATCCATGTGTAAACAACTATATTCTGCAACGGAATCTGAGAGATTTATTCTGATTGTTAAGAAGATCATTCTGATTATTTCAGAGAGTTTACCCATATTTTTATCAACTTAAATAACATTTGAAAAACCATTTGACAGCTGATTAGTTAATTTCTACGATGATCAGTGTTTCAGAAACCGGGCGTTATTTTATTCTGTGTCGGTCTAGACATACTTTCGTAAAAATTTTATTTATACAAATAAACAAAAAAGATATTTATAGAAATTGATGTTTTCGTTAAAAATTTATATATCGTTTATATGAAGTAATCGTCAAACTCATAATATAATCGTGATGAGTAATGAATAAGAAGTATAAATGTAAAGTGTAATAAATCGACGATCTATTTGTCGCGGATTATGTTCGGCCCGCAAATAAAGTTTCATTAGGTTCTTCAACCATCTCGCTTAAGCATCACGACGATAGCTGGGCCAATATACTTGAGCGCCTTTCTAAGCAACGAACGCGTCAGCCAAATGCTGCATAAGCAGTTATTCTCCGGATACTTGACTGTGTCTAACTTTACTTTAAAACTGCTTAACAATTAAGCAGTGCACTAAAACGCTACGTACAGCATTTCGTTAATGTTTTTGTCATTCTGATACAGGAAGTAAATGCAGGATTGAATGACTTTGCAGGGCGTTATTAAATCCCTTTGTTCAGTTACCAAATTTCAATGTAACATAGAAATTCGTAATCGTAGTTAACAGAGGTCTTCATGTGGATAAATTGAAAATTATGTTTTTTCTATATATGTGACCAAGTCATAAAAGCTAGTCTTTGTAAACTTAATGATGACAAAAAGATCACCAAAAGGAAACTTTCCCGAAAACACTCGTCGCAAGTAAATGACTTCAGTAGAATAAATTAGTTGGGAATAAAACTGCTCCTCTGCTGCACATTAATAATACAGATTCACTTACGTAAGTGGATAAGCCAGCTTATATCATATCATAGCGAGGGGGAATATTAAAACCAGTCTGAGAACATATTAGTCCGTGTCATGAGAAATGTTAATACATTTCTTTGAAAGGCGAGTAAGACTGTTGAGGTGAGCTATATAGATTGTGCTCCGGAGATACAGGGTACAGTTTTTCTCATCTGTCACTATAATTTAATAGTTTGGTCTACAGCCAACTGTGACAACATCATTCGTCCAGTGCGCCATTGTTTCTTCAGTTGCAATTTAATAATATGACATAACGTCAGCAGACATTTATTCAGAAGTTTTTGATATATTTATTCGTTTATATAAACTTAACCTTAAGTTAAGTTAAGTAAAGTTAGATCTCGAGTAATTTTTAATCTTAACTGGAGTCGATATATTTCTTACTGCCAGTCAGTGTCAGTCACTAATGACTGAGGTCATCGAAAAACTGATCGTCGTATGCCAGGTAATCAGAGGTAGTATCTTTGAGTAATAACTGGAAAAACAAACACCCTGCGATAATTTTAAGCCTTAAAGTTTAGATCGTGTGCTTTACAGAGTGACAATGGTAGCGCTGGTAAAATGAAGTCAGATATAAACAGATAGTAAGGACAAATAAAGGACAGTCTACTTTTATTAATACTATAGTTATAATTTAAAGTTAGTTAGTATAAATTTTTTACTCGTTTGTTTTTTTTTTGTTAACTATTAATATATTTACGATGAACATAACTCGGAGCAGTGTGGAGGCGCATAAATAACAAACAACTTTAAGTAATTATTTATTTGAAATTTATACCCTAATTTACATATCGTCAGTCACAGAAACTATTCTAAGCGTGTTTTAATAGAATTACATTAATACTGTACATTAAAATATCTTAATACTAAAGGTAATAATTTGTAAGGCAGAGCTTGGCTGGTATAGCTGAGATGCAGTAATTAGAATGTAACACATTACGCAATTTGTTTAATGCCCTTATGTTCTCATAATTACATGCTCGTTAGAAATGATTCCCAGAATTACAAAAAATACAACGTTATATTATAATCCTATCGAAGTAAGATGCTATTACATTGTGAACAAAAAATAATAACATATTCTTAATTTTTATACACACAAGCAATTAAAATGCGGCTAAGATAATATGTTACGAATAAAGCAATAAAATGTTCTCGTGTACCTATGTTGCAACATTACACCGCGGGTCGTTTTTAACATATATTTTGCACGATTACCAGAACAAAGATATCCGGCTTGTCCGAAGCTCCGGTTTCAAAGGAGGTCGGTGACACAACGCAACGAAAAACTAAATACCGGCGAATTACGACAACTTACTCTATTGGAAAACGGACTAATACAAGACTGGTAAATTTGTATTCAAATTCCACTCCATGTCGCTTTGTTAGAGTGCGGGGATGATTGTTATCGTATTGATCCTTAGTCATTAAAGTTTAAACCCTAATACCGATACAAATAGGTCATAATTTCTCTTGTAGTGCTCGACGAAGTTCCTCAGTAGCCTTGTTCAGATCCTGACCGCCGTGACGTCGTGGTTTCCCGCTGAGATCGCTGCAGTCCTCCAAGTAGTCTTTAGGCGGTTCCGCCGGATATTTGCTGCCGAACTTCGGCCGGGGAATTCGTACGCGTTTAACATCGCCCAACCAACTCTCCATTGTTGCTCAGTATCTGTGGTTATTGAGTTCCTTGAACGACAGGAACGTCTTCTTTCTCTATTCCTGGAAGTAAAGAAAACATTGTAATCATATGACAGTTTATTTAAAAATCTATCACGGTTTGTTTATTATGGATTTCGCGTGGAGTAAATGATATACTATAAGTAGTGACTACCAATAAACAATTAGGTTTGTTGAATTCTTTATGAGACATTTTGTTGGTGCTTTTATTGGTTCAAATCCGAACTAGCTCATGATGATTACGAAACGTCGTCAAAAAACAAAACGAACAAAGTTGAGAAAATACCCGTTAAGTGGGTAGAAAACGTACAAGCGTTTTCAGCACTCCGAGCCTATACAATGGCTATGAGTGCTAATGACAAACTACGGCTGCAGAAAAACGCAGTTTATTGTCTCGCAACTCGATTATCTGAGTCAGGATTTCATGATCTATGTCAGTAAGTAATACAATATTTTTGTCCTAATAAAATATTCATATAGAAATAAAAAGAGAAAGATGAAGCGCAATAAAATTTTAAAATAACATTAAAAGAAGATATTGAATTTATTGACAAGCATTATATATATTAATTATTCCTTTAACAATACAAAATAACTTCGCAGGAATAATGGCGTATGACGAAAAAAAAAATGTATTCACCATTTACTTTCTCCCGGAGAAAGTGTAGCAGAAAGCAAAAGCAATAACTATTACGTTTATGTTTTAAAGATTTGTTTCTTTGATAGAAAATCGCATCATATGAATCATTATTTTTCACTAATTTACATTTTTTCTTGTATGTAAAAAAGTTCTCTTTATCTATTAGTGTTCAATTGCGAGTTAGACAATGAATTAGATCCTGAGTAAAGTACCTATTTACGAAAAAGCGTGTCAATTGGGCATTGATTTAGACGATTTAAAGTTGTTTAAAATACTTAAATTATGTATTAATGATTTTAATGAAAAATAAAAAAAAATGTACAGTAAAGTTTACTACTCTGTGTAACACAGTTTTTATACAATCGATTTTAAAACTGATAGCAATTTTTAATCATAATATGTAGTTAACACTACAAATCTTCTTATATGAACTTAGTAGTAGAATAGGTCAGTTACATCTGAACTGTCAGATCACAAGTATAATTAGCAGGTATTAAAGTTTATGCGTGCGTCCATTAAAGTGCATAAGTTGATCATCTAATTACAGTTATAGAGAGGAAAGTACACCCTTTTAAATTAATCTATTTATTATAATGAGTGTAAAAAGCATTCCTCGTAAGTAGTCATTAGCTTAAAGTCAAAAAGGTCTTGAATCTACTAATTTGGTCGAAACCAGCTCCGGCTTTTTTCACGTATTACAAAAAGGCATGTGCGCCCTTTTTAAAAAAATCTGTTTATAATTAGCTTCCGAAGCATTGCTTGAAAGCAGCCATTTTCTTAACGCCAAACAGATCATAAATTCACTAATTTCCACGAAGCAAGCCTTCGATTTAATTGCACCGTAAATGTTTCAATTTGAGCACAATTTAAAAGTTTCGCCTAAAACGTTTTACTATAGACTAAGTAAGGCGCAATACTAAATGGAATATCTCATTGCTAATTCAAATATGGGTGTAGGCTCGAGTTTAAGACAGTTGTACTCTACCGCGAGAAAGCCCGCTGTCACTTGTCACAAGCAAATAAATACGGTTGTGAACTTGTTTGGTTCACTTGAGGCTCACTCGTGAGTCAGCAGGCGTGGGCATCGCAAAAACATACTTAACGCCCCCCGACGAAGCAACATGAGCTTTTATAAGGATCGGATCGAACTGGTTTTCGTTGAGCAACCGTATTAAACATTACACTATGTTTATCCTTACGCGAGCTTTGGACCGCGTTGACCGATGTTTACGGCTGCGTTTATAGCTGGAGGTTGTTTATGTACGAAGAAATATCGCAGTGTCTTAGTCACGAATAGAAAATACTATTAACTAATCGATGTCTGGTCCTATATATATGTACCTAAAGATATCTTCTGGAAGATACAGTAAAAGTTGTAGGTACCCAGTGAAACCCCCTGGGTGGCCATAAATAGCACCATAGGGGAGGCTCTAGTTTCCCCAGTAGAATGAACCAGTGATCAACTGCACTAAATTCTGATCACATTCAATGATAGGGAACGCCTCCCTTTGCACTTCCTTCTGCTGCAGCTTCACAGGACAA